AGTTGCCAGTGACTTTGTCAGTCAAGCAAGTCTATGAAAATAAGTGAGAGGAACAGAAAAGATCCCAGTTGTATAGAAATAATTCTCAGTAGTCCGGGACCACCCAGGAACAGAAATTCTGCCTCCCTGCTGAAATGCTTTGGTGAATTCCTCAAGTTAAGTCCTGTCGCTGTGCCAGAGAAGCAAAGCCCATTCCTGGTTCGAACCATGATATTTCCCCTGTGCGTGCCTTTTCCCTCTCAGTCTGTCATGACATCCTTTAAGTGCCGCCCCCAACCAGCCTGTCTCCCATCATATGGCGCAGTTTATCAGCAACACTGGTGCAATGTCCACTTTTGAGTTGAAAACAAGCTCCATATAGTGCACGTATGCTTCCCGAAACTGGGAAAATATTTATTTTCATGTGGTAGCTGTGAAGTTAGAATTAAGCTCTCTGCTGTTTATAATTCAACCAACATCACTTTCACTTTCTTCTACAGCTTGCCCCAGTTTTTCTTTCCTTTTCTAATTACAGCAGCTGCTTTTGTCTGTTTCCGTGGGATGGGCAGAAATTTTTTGAACTTATTACAGTCCCTATTTAGGAAAATGTCTGTGGCAAACAATTTCTTTTTGATCATTTTTTAGAAAAGGAAAATGACTAATGATAAAATGAGTTATTAGTGACTTTTTAAACCTATAATTAAGAGGCTCTTATCTTAATCTTATTTTCCCCTTTCTTCTTTAAATCCCAGACGCCGAATGGCTTGCCCACAGTGAACAGCTATGTCACAGCACCCAGCATCCCTCCCTACCACCCTCCCACCCAAGTGTCACCCTACATGGGGTACAGCGCCACCACGTCGGCCTATGTGACCGGACCCACGTGGCAGCCAGCCAGTGGCAATGCTCTATCTCCCCACAGCTGTGACATCGCCACCCCGCTGGCCTTCAAGAGGATGTCAGCCAACCGTGACGCCATCCACCCAGTCGCCGCCTCGGCGCTGTGAAGTCAACTCCACAGACTGATGGGAGAAAGGGGGGTGGGAGGGTGTGAAGGGGAGTGGGTTGGGTGAGAGACGGAGAGGACATTCAACTCCAAGTCTGTCCGTGGTGGCAACTGTTTTCCACTCCCACTGCCAGCTTTCTATGAAGGACTCGGCCCCAGGACTCATATCTGCGCCACTGGGTATATGATGCCCCTCCGAGCTAAGCGCAGTCAGACCAAAGACACACAACGAATAAAAAGCCTGTCAGTTTTTACAGCAAATGTGTTGTCTAAAAGTACTTGCAGGACAGGTGTTCCAAAGACTGACATATGACTGCTACACCATCCATCAACATAATTCCTCTCAGATTCTTTACTGCACATCTGCAAATGTCTCTGGGCAAAATGGGGTAATGTATAACTTCATGAATACAGAATCAAAGAAAAAGGGAAAAAAACTTTACATTAGTGTTTCAGGGTGCTTAATAATAATAATTGCTATTGTTTTTTTATGTTTGTATGCTTTTTGTTTATGATTTGATAAAAGTAACTCTGTTATGGAGCGTTGTTTTCCACTTCTCTAAAAGTGTAGCCTATGCAAGAGCTTCAAAGGGAAGTTTATTTATTAGATTAAAGGTACGTTGAATGAAGTGCAATTAGTCTTACAGAAAGCATGGACATCTCCACGCACATTTAGACAGAATTGGCATTGGGCACATTGGAGTCTAGAGCATTAACATAATTAATTGTCAAATGTTGCACAATGAAATTGAATGTATCTTATTAAATTGTTTGGCTTTTATTGGTCTTCGTGGAGTTTTCTGGCTGTTTGGGGATTCCTCAACACTTATTATTCGGAGAACAGAAAACAAGTGCACCATCACAGCTAAAAATATTTCATCTCTTTTTCTTCCAGCTATTCTAGACTCAGGGCATTGTGGCCTACTGGCCTGTTTTACATGAGCAGGAAACTGCTTTCCATAAAAGAAAAAAAAAAAAAGACGTGTGCACGCTGACAAGGCCTGTATTTTCTATTACCATGCGTCATGGCTCACTAGGAAACTTCATCAGAAATGCTTTGGGAGCACGAGTGTTTGCGACCACTTGAAGCAATTCTTTGAAAGTCCTTTGGCCATTAAAAATGGGTACATGTCTTCTCACCTCATTACATTTAATGCGGTCCTTTCTGTAAGCATAAAAAATTATACCTGTGCATTAGAGTGACAAAAACACAATTTGAGTAATTTGGGTTCGCACTATTTTAACAGATTATTCCCATAAAAATTATAAATAAAAATAAAACACAAATGAATAAAATGTGCAAAACATAAGAGAATTTTGGACATTTCCCACTGCAACCAAACTGAAAAAAAAAGTCAAAATGCAGTGTATATTTATACTTTGAAACATAGAATATTAATTCCAGTAAAGCCCTGCTGTCTTTAAAAAAAAAAAATAACAGCCTAATGTCATGCATTATAATTTTCAACCATTTTAAGTCATAGAATTTTTTTCATATGGTTTTGTGGGAAAAATAGTAAATAAAAATATCAGCTTTTCAAACAAATTTGAGATCTGTGTGCCCAAGAGTCCTAGACTCCTGGGGTCAGGTGCAGTCCATGTACATTCAGAGAGCCACAAATAGACTCATTGGCCTGCGGTTTCCAAGGTCATCAGACATGTGACCCAAACACGAACCTCCAGCAGCCACATAAAGGGCCAAATAGGGCTGTCAGGGCCAACTCAACGTGTTCATTACAAAGGAAAAGCACACAGGCCATCTGACAAATGACATGTTTGCAAAATGATGCAAAAATACTTTCTGAAAGTGTAGAGGGGGGAAGAGTGTAGTGTAATAAATTACGAGTGAGTCTGGCAAGCCCTGTCTAGCCCTGCAGTGGAAACCACAGATTTACACAAACTGGGCTTTAGTTGAAGTTGTAGATTGATAACTTGATATAGGTGCTTACCCAGCTCTTTCGCATAGCATTACCTGCTGCCGATGGTTCAGTAGGTGCGCGGCTCAGTTTTTCTTTCCCTCCCGCGATACAGCATAAACAGCCTCTGCACGTGACAGTGTCAACAGTCCTCCCCATGCAGGAGCTGATTTGACTTGGAAAGCAGTCTTCCCCGCATCCAGTGGTCACGGACCGTTGCTCAGGGATCGTAGTGTTTCTTTGACCGTATGTGAACCACATCACAGAGACGAGATGTTCACTCGCTGTACCAGCCAGCCATCACGGCCACCCTTTTACCATCCACCATCCATCATGAACGGCAAATGATAGTTAAGTCTCTGAGTGGCATGAAAGAGTCGTTACACGCTCTGTTCTTTACCTCAGCCGACACACAACAAGGCCAAACAACTTTTCCTTTCAACTAAGCTACATGAACTGCACACAGCCTTGTTAGTCTAGTCTGACTCACAGAACAAAATTAAAATGTGGTTGTCTTAATTGACAACAGTATTCAAAAAACAGGAACAGTGTGTTTTCTAGACAGGAGGAAGCTTCTCGAAAGTCTAACAATCCCTGCTCTTGTAGTTTAATGTTGGTCAGCTTTATGGAAAGAGAGGTCTAAAAGGCGTACTTAAAAAAAAAATAATAAGGGCAGACACGTGTTTACAATTAATTAAGTTGAGTCTGACTTCAGTGTCATATGGTTATCTTTACTTCTCCGCATGCAATTAGAAGCAAGACAGCCATTTACAGAGTAACACTGAGCAGAGAAAGTAATACCGGCTGAATACAGGACTTCATGCGTGCTTCTGCTCAATGAACACTTTTAAAAGCAGCTGACAACAGCCAGAATGTTTTCTTAATGTCTTAAAACAACAACAGTGAGGAGACAGGTGAGCAAAATGGAAAAAAATAAGTGCCGTGTTTTTAAAAATCACGTCTGGTGCCGTGTCTTTGTGTGTGTGTGTGCATGGCTGACTGCTTTTTACCTACAGTGTAAATTGCAGACATTTTAATATACTAATCATTAACCACATTTGCACTGGGAAAGGCAGGTAGAGCCATGCCCAGGTTGCAGCCTTGTCAAAGCGGAGCCACTGAATTGAGATGTTACAGATGAGGGTGGGAAAATCCATAAAAAGGGCGCAAAGAAAATGACGTGAGGGAGACTTATAAGATTTATGATTATTGCAGTGTGCAGGGAATTCATGGTAAAGTTTCACAAGCTTTTAAAATACAGATACAGATTCAGAACTCCATTACATAAAGGACAGGTTAAGCGCTTACAATTCCATCAGTCTGCAAGCCACAGTTGTTAGTCTCTCACCGCGGGCCCCTAGGCAAAAACTAGGAGCCGTTCCATTTTGGCAGAGAGTGACTCCCACATTAATGATGACTGTCAAATGCCAACGTGGCTCACTATACCAGCTACCAGATGAAGTTAAGATGAGTCTCTTCGAGAAGCCACTATGCCTAAGGCTGTGCAACAGGTGTGTGTATATATGTGTTTTTGAATATTTGTATAAGAAACAGACTGAGAAAGAGAGAAAGAGAATGTGTGTGGTAACCCCCTCGATCCCTGCAGCCCCATTTGAATTCTTGGGGCTTGTTATTTTAGCTTGCACTAAATGTTCGAGCGCTGACTACCCGCCAGAGAGAGAAAGACTGACACTAAGTTGGCTACGAAGCGCTCGGATGACAAAAAGGAGAGTGATGAAGTGGCAAACTGTAGAAAGGGGATATTCTTATATCGATGCCAAGATGAAACGGTCCCAGTTAAGACAAAAACAACAACACGAATCTACTGTTACAGGACACGCAACACACAATTATACAGTGACGAAAATGTGGGTTCATTTTTTCTTTTTATTTGTTACCAATACATGAAAGAACTGTCCAGTTGTTGTTTTTGATTTGAGGTTTTTTTTTTCAGGAAGGTCTTAAAAAGGAAAATCCACACAACATTTTATCAATAAAACCTTGAAAACATATAAAACTCTGATTTTTTTTTGGAGGTACATTAAAAACAGAAGAATCCCATCGAATACTGTCCATTTTCATGGTGCAGGGTGCACCAAAACCTTCATATTTTCCATAGCACTTTTCTTGACAAAGCCAAAAAATGATTATTGAAAAAACTGAACTGCATGTTAAATTGTTGTTGTTGTTTTTTAAAATAACGTGGAAAACAGGAAGCTCTCAAAGATGTTGACAGTTTTGTGACTGATTGTCTCAGGCAGGACGGTTTGCCCCCAGCATCCAGTATAATTATGGAACGACATCAAAAGAGACTCTCCGCATGCCTTTGCGATGCCATGGGCTTCTGGTGCCAAGTTTGATCCGTGTATTAAGAACAAACTGGCAAAAACATATGCATTAATAAGCTTTCATAACGTCAGTGTTCTTGTTAGACATTAAAACACTATTTCTGCTAAGGCTCAGTAGTACACGGATGAAGATAGGTGTAATCAATAAGCAGACTTCCAAGGAATCCTCCAAAAGTTGCAGTAGCACTGGGAGCAGTGCTTTGCTGCACAATGAGGTGTTCTTGAAGGCTGCTGAATTTAAATTTAAATATGATTTCTACTGTTTTATGCACACTATGTCTGAACTTCCTGATTGCATCTTGTATTTGCATTTATGAATACATATACCATAAAAAGATGAATATGTATATATATACAATAGGAGACTGGAGATTGATTGTTGTACAAACTCATCTTAATTGAGGAAATATGTTCAAGTATAGCTGTAAATAGACAGAAATCAGGATAATCATAAAAATGCCTTCACTCTATTTTTGGTGTTTTATGTCATTTGAACACATTTCAAGTATTTCTGTATAAACAGAGTTCATATTCTGAAGCGTTCAGCTCAGTCTACTTTGTCTTTGTCTATTTAATCTGTGATTGTTGCACCAAACCAGTGAGATGAGCCCAAAAAAGAAGAAAAACATGAGAACTACAACCAATGAAATGTGAAAACACTATGTTAATGCATGACTTCATTAGGAACACTGATTTGTCAATGATTTTAAACTCAATGAAGACTATTTTCAGGTATTAGAACACTTCCTTCAGACTCAAAATGTGTTGTAGCATTTTGAATGTGGGAAATGAAAGCTGCATTTTAAAACATAATATAATGCTGATTTGGTAATTTGAGTTTTTTGTATTCAAGGTAAAAAAAAAATCGAATTTATTCCGATATGACTCTGATCAGGTAACAATACTTGCAATAAGGCACAGTTCATAAGGCACCATTGTGGGGTTCCCTGTTTTGTTACCAGTTTCTCTGCAGCCACTCAGACACATATTCATAGACCAACAGCATTACTGCTCCACCTGTGAGAGAATATAAGAGAAGTACCCGTTGTGAATTTGATTTTCAGAGGCTTTACTTCCCCAGTGAGTTTCTGAGAGCAGGAACATGTGAAAAGCTTGTAGCACTTGTTTACAAAGGAGGTGGACGGTATCTCTAGCTCACTGTATTTCCATTTAAAGCTTATTATTGTGGAATATTATGTAAATACTGTTCCTTGGAATCTGCTGAGAAGGAAATAGTGTTTGCTACAGCCTTATTTCACTGGAAGCACTGCATGCAAAGTTGAAATGCTAATATGCTTAAGGGAAGGCTTTTTCTTGCTTAATCGCTCTCTTCACCAGCCTTATCTGCTGCAACAGGTGTGACAGATGTGAGGATGACAATGACTTCAATATTAACACGAGGAATCTTTTTTTCTTACCTGGTCCAAGCCTCATTATCTTGGGAACCAATCCCTTGTATAGTGCCAAATACCTGCAAAGAAAGGAAAGAAAAGCTGTAAGGTGTTAATGTGCAAAGATTTTAGCTAGAATCCAGTATATGTAAATCGTTTCAGTTTGCGTAATGGCTGTGCTGCGATGGAGTTGAAATGTAAATTAGTGCAAATGGAGTGGTGGTGTGTAAATTTTAGACTGCACATAAGTACTTCTCATGTGTCCTACTTCATATGTCAAATCCAGCACAACTCAGAGGCAAATTTTAAACCTCTGACATCACTTCATTTATTAAATATCATTTTAGATGCTTTGCAGATCTCAAAGAAAACCAATGTAAGTGAACTCTTGTGTATGATAATCTATTATCATTTGATCTAAAAAAGAAATTCAGAAGCTGCCTAGCAATTCATGAATCAAGCCCCAGCTTTAATAGATGTAATGTATGCAATGCATCAATACTTACAGTTTGCTATTATAATAAGCAAGATCTGAATAGAGTCATTTTTACATGATAAATCTATTTGTTTTTGGAAGTGTTGGACTGATCTGAGTCCTTCCATATGCTGGTTGTATACATGTGCCTGTGCTCTTGCTTGTGAATGCATGAATGAGTATACATGTGAGAGCCTGTCTGTCAGTCTGTCTGTCTGCTGCGCTGCCTGTCTGTCACTCCATCAGGTATATAGGGTCCAGCGGCCAGCGCTACCGAGTACCTGCTCCTTAATGCATTCAAGGTGATCAGTGGCTGTCCGCCTCCGCCTCGTGCTCCCTGTCCCGCTCCCTGCCCCCGCCACTGATGGCGTTAATAAGGCTCGACCCACTTCCTCCCTGGCCCTCTGTCTGATTAGATTGACCCGTGGAGCGCCGTGCGGCTCGTTAGGGTCTGCTTAACGACGTCTCCCATAGGGACCACTAATTAGCTGGGACTGTGTTGTGTTAGAGAAGGGGACTGGATGTGGCGGATGGGGCACCATCCATGCACCCCTGCAACGACAACATTTCAGTGCCATTCTTGCAACAAGCTCTATACTAACAACATCCACTAACTACAAACATATCGCTGGCCCTTGTCTAGCGGAGCAGCATGGGGGAAAGTGGAAAGCCTGAGGCAATTGCTAGCATAACATACATCTTTCCTTGAAGCTTCCATTTAGAGCTGTCATTCTTTGAGGCATGAAAATATGTTAACATTTACTAAACAACTGACAGGCTGCAGAAATGTATGATCGTACTCATGGGGAATACAGCCCAGAATCTAACATCATTATTTAGTTTCCATTCATTGGATCACAGTTTTGCATGAAGCTATTCGTGCTTTTTGCTGTATTTAGTGTAGGAAAGTCACTCCACACAATCAAACCCTGCTAACTTGTAGCTCCAGCTGGTACATTTGTCTTCTCTGACAGCCAGTTTGGCAGATAACCAACTATCGACTGCTAACAAAACAGACAGAGTGGCTCATTAATTCTTGAATGAATCAGCATTCCAGCTTTTGTCCCGAACATCCCCTGTTTTTCTCCTCCCACATTTGTCCATACCCCTCTTCGCGGTACACTAGTGCCATGGTCTGGAAGCAGGTGCGGTACTTGATCTCTCCTGGCACTGGCTGGGGGCCCTGGATCCGGCTCTTGGCAACATCGAAGGGAATATTCACACAGGAGGAGATGGTCCCAGACAACAGGCCGATGGTAAACTTGCGCAGGAACTCTAGGGTAGGGTCCTGAAAAAGGAGGAGATAAAATTAGGTATGCCTTTTTAAGGGTGACACTTATATTTTTAAAGTGTGAACCACAGGGTTAAATTTGGTCCCATAAAACATAAACAGCAAATAGAGCTTTTGGAAATAAAAAGGAAAGTAGTGACAGGGAGTTGACAAAGTCAGCGCTGAGACATTATGTGTCTACGTCTATGAGCGAATGTGGGGGAGAGCATGAGGGGACTTGTGCATATGATTGCAAAGCTTGCATGAAAGCCCTGATCATTTTATGGTAGCGGGGGGCAGATTAGTGCTTCCTGACTGCAGTGCAGCATTCTGATTGGCTGAGCAGAAGCACATGTTCACCGGGGAGCCAAGACAGAGGATTTATAAACAGGGTTCATGCAGGCAGACTGGGGAGGCATATGGGGACAATTTGGGTAATTGGGCTGTGACTCGGCACAGGGGTATTACTGTACCAAAGAAGCCCAGACTCAGAGAGCTCTGACAGCTAATTGGCCAGGATATTTTTACAAATGACAGCAGCCTCTCTGGTCCAGGCCTTTCTCAAGCGGCTGGACACCCTGAGAGCCGTGGTAAATCAACAGCTAATCCCACTTTTTCTATTTTTTTCAAGTGGGATGTGGAGAAGGGGGCAACGTAACTGTGGCCTAAGTACACCCATCAACCCACTTCCTAACAGCCTTAAGCAAACATCTCCTCACACATTCACTTGTGAATGATGGCAGTGTGCTATCTGCCTCCTCTGTTAGTCAAAAGGCCACATGAGAGAAACCTGGACTCGACAGTCTGAATTCGACTGCAGACAAGTTTGAGTTGCAAGCTCATTGCTCATGTTGCTGACACAAGGCCTTTGAAGAAACACCACTATCAGCTCAGCCTGTGAATTGCACAACGTCCACAACATTTCTGCTTTTGCTGTCTCGACAATGGCCACTGTTAGCATCTAACAAACAGGATCGCTCCATCAATGTGCATCGAGACGGATAATTCCCAAAAAGCAACTGCCACAATCTAAGAAGGGAGCTATTTGAGTCATCCAGCCACATAATTATCATTCACAGAAGATGACCACTTGGTTTTCTGTACATCATGCGTCATTGGAAAAATGTTGAAAATTTAGCAGAGCCTGGCCTCCCACTGTAACCCTCCTCTTGAAAATAGTACAGTTGTCTGCTTCCAATTAGTTCATTGGAGTTAATCTAATGCTCCAGTTTGCACATGTGGAACTGGCGTATGGTAACGTTTCCATTAAACAAAATTAACTTTTGTTTGGGCCATCAGGAACTGCCGGATGTGTAATCTGAAACTTTGAGGATGTTATGAAGAGCAAACAGAAGAGGTATTAGTGGGGCTGATCTTACAAGTCCTCTCTGATTTTTGCTTCCTTCCCTCCATGCCAGTCAGGCTAACTAATAATACTGTTAAATACATTTGGTATTTCCCTGTGGCAAGGTTGTTGGCACACATGCATATCACATAGCCTATGGATAGCAAAAAAACTAGGTGTAGTCAAGGTTACCAATGTCAAAGCAAGGTTAAAGTGGTTTGGAAAAAAACCCCAAAACAAGTAAGTGTGTGATCATAGATTATGATTGGCATATTACCGGGTTGGTAGGAATAGCGTCCTTGACATTGAAGTAGAAGCCAAAGTAGATCATGTTGAAAACTCCATGGCGCCCCAGTGTTGATGTTAATCCTTTATTAAGGCCCCTCAGTCCAAAGCCGTCTGACTTAATTATCCATCTTGCTTGGGCAAAGGAGGAGGGTTGCTGTATTGGAAAGATTGAATTCAAAAGAAACACATGTGAGCAGATTTCTATGGAAAGATGTGTAGATTACCAATATTTTACACATTATGACAATATGTGATTTCAGTCAACCTCTTTGAAGGAATCCCTGTTGGCCTGGAGACTGACTTTCACCACCTCGAATGGATTGATCACTAAAGCCTCAGTCAAGCCAGAACCAAGCCCTGCTGCAGACAGCGCCTAAAGGGGAGTTGGACGTGATTTAGGACTCAGAATGTGGAGATAATATTTGGGTAGAGACAGAGCAAACTAGATAAACTGATGAAGACAATGAAGAGTGACAACGTGTCCGGGTTACAAGAGCTGCCGTTGTTATTTCATTTCCAGAAACCTGAGTCTTTTTGTCTTGTCTAAAATATGTATTCGTCACAGCCATCATTGTTACTTCTTGACAAATGCTTTAAGACGCCTGTGTTTATCATCAGACAGAATGCCAGATGACAGATGGGAATGAGAGGAAGGTGAGTAGAAAGTAGGAATGTGAGCAAGGTAACAAACTTCCACTGAAGAAGCCAAAAAATTATTTTCTGCTTTCATTCATCTCATCACAATCAACATGCACTAATGTAGCACCGATTTTATACAACTGGCTGTTGCAACACTGCATGTACTTACATTGGTCTGTCTATTTCTGCATCTAAGTGTGTGTGTACATGTGTGTGCGTGTACATGTGTGTGTGTGTACATGTGTGCGTGCATGCGTGCTCAGAGCGAGGCGTAATGGGAACATGTCAAGAACGTGTCTATAGCTCATTACTCTTCCTGCCTCTTTATCCTGCTGTCAGAGCCCCGGGACCCATCCTCTCAGACATGCCTCACGATGTTTACACAGCCAGCGAGCCACGTTTTAATTCCTTATTTGTATTATTACTGTGTGTGTCCTCATTAATCAGAGTGAAGGCATTCAGCTGTGCCATGCTGAATAGGGGGGAAGAGAGAGCACCATTCACAACCAATCTGTAATTCACTTGCACTAATGATCTGATGTGATTACAGTACTTGATATGCGAGGGCCTCTGGGGGGAAAGGGGTTAGAGGTACTTGAGGAAGAGGAAGGGGTGGAAAAAAGATAGTCAGAAGGAGGCATAAGAAGAGTGGGAAGAGGGCATGATAAATGGGACAGGTAAACATTACTCCAGAAATGGCTGTAAAAACAAGATGAGGATATTCTCCACGCTGGGGCGGCTTTGACACTGAGCTACAGGTAAGCCATCCATCATGGCTGACACTTGGCTGCCACCTGAATAGGTGGTGTGCGGTGACCACACCCCACCAATACAAATCTTTCTAGCTTAAAACTCTGACTCAATATAACAGAAAATCAATTACTCAAGAAGGATGAAACCTCTTCTTACCTCATGGCCTGTGGTGTAACCAGTCTCCAGAATTAACAACCGCCAAGCAAGTTGGTCAAGTTGGTTTTAAAGTACTGTGTTAAATATTAGACTATTTTGGCTCTACTTCCAAACATCGGGGTTTGAAAGAAGTGGTGACTATGACGTTTTGTGGGTTCATCTTGACTTTAAGAGGCAATCTGTGTTTATGTCCAGGCTATAAAGAATCCCACCTGCTTAACTTGGGGATGAAGAGAAAAAGGTGCTACGATATAAATTATATAATCCCAGTGGGTTGTCCCAGTGTAGCCACGCTGCGATAAAATAACGTGATTAAAGTTAACTAAATGGGAACTTGAAATTTTAATACACTGATTTTTAACTGCCTTTTTTCTCGAATTGGGATTAGTTGCTGTTGGACGTGCAGTTGAGGTTGGGTAAACGATAATATCTGATCAGCTGTCTCAGTTGTTATGAATTCAACTTTTAGATCACTAGCATGTCACAAACTTTGCTGGACTCCTTTTGCTGTTTTAAATTGTAAGGTCTGACTTCCCATATGGCTGAGCTTATTTAAAAATGACTGAATGTCACAGCAGACAGGCAGTATTGTTACCGCCATAGCTTTTCTACTTGCTTTACATTCATTGTAGAATTGCAAAGTGATTTTTCGTCTGTGTCAGCAGTGAAGGGGCACACTCATTTTGTTTGAATAAGCATTAATCAAATTGTCAATGGACAAACCAGACTGTAGATTCCAGGATTATACCGAGTGCAAGCACTATGATTGCTGTTGTGACTCCAGGTTACAGATTTGGGTTGTCTTTTATATTAACACAACATACACCATGGGCAAAACGCAGCACCTGCCCAATGTTAAGTCTGCACCGTAGTCTTATGGTAACTGTTGCTGTTATGCAACATTTAGCTCCTTCCTATCTTCAATTTAAAAAAAAAATCTGAATAGATTCTCACACAGTGTGAGTCAATGAAATGAAAACAAAGTAATTATTACTTGTGTAATTTTAAAAAAGCCTTCTAATAAGCTGCCAGTTATACTGGATTAACACATACGTAGAAGCACCGAACAAACGCTTGTAGTTTTTGTGGTTGCTCTGTTGCTGGGAATGAAGCTCATAAAAGCAAAGGTTCAGCCAGAGACATGGAGTCATTAGTGCCACACTGATCACAGCTGATGTCCCAAACTGAGTGCCAACTACATATAAATGCTGCTTCATACATTTAAATGCTAAACTGAGGTGAAAGTGGAACATTCAGGGTTTGTTTCAGAAGTTCTGAAAATGACATTGACAGCTACATAAATGACTAAACGTGTGCTGAATTGCTCGCACTATGCCAACAGTATTAATTTAAGCTCTGGAAATCATTTCATGTTTATCTTGTCCAATGTGTGACCAAGATAAAAAACACAAAATGAGTAAGAATTTCCCTTCTAAACCTATTCCTGCATTACTAAAAGTTTTACATGAAACAGCACTGAAAATGAAATGTTAACAAGGACATTTAAATTTTTATTAATTCATTTGCCTGGCAAAATTATTCTTGGCATTTGTCTTTGTTTTAAAAGCCTTTGGCAGGTGAGCTGTTTTCATACTCTAAAACATTATTCCAAATCCGGTGTGCGTGCGTATTTATTTTTTCAAGTGAGAGTGTATTCAGGTGTCCCTGGATGGAAGACTCACCACACCGGGAGACAAAGGGGTCAAATTCAGCAACTTCTTGTACTGCTCAAAGGTGAAAAACTGCAGTGGGAAAGATCAGGATAAAAGCGCTGTCAGAAAGTGACATCTGTGCACACATACACACCCACATATGGTGTACATAAAGAAAGCTACCTTAAAAACACACAAAAGGAAAGGGGGAACTACATGAAGATTGCATGTATTTAGTAAACGAACATGAAATGACGGTACGCTTTGAATTTCAGACCTTGATCTTTGTGGAAAGACAAAAGTCTCAAAAGCAGACAGATCCACGGATCTGTTTATTTGACCAAGGGCAAAATGCCAGCAAGACTGTTTTAATCGGAGCTTTAATTTGTTTTCTGGCTCCAGACATTTCTCACCACCTAGCTTTGTTCTCAATGTGAGTGATTACCCCATCTTCTCAGTGTGAGTGCTTACTTTTAAAGCTCACACATCCTTGTTTCCAGCATCTCATTACAGAGGTGTTCTATGCCAAGCATCAGGGCCCTCTGCGCCACCCACCCCCCCGCTCACCCCAATCCCTGTCACCCCATTACACGTTAGCTCCAAATGCTAAACCTCATTACAAATATCCAAAGATGGCTCTCAAGAGATGGCTTTCTTTCAAATGCTTGTAAGTCAATATTTGGAAGACCAACAGAATGAATAGGAGTGGCTGAGGAGGCAGACATGGCAGAGGGCGTCATGTGTTTAATCAACACGTGTGTACCATGTTAGAACGATTGTGGTTTGAGTGTTTTCATATGGGAGTGAAGCAGTTTGCCAAGAAACCAGATCCTGAGCGTTGCATCATATGCCGAGAAGCTCTGCGGCCGTCAGTGAACAAACGGCCATGTCCTTTGTCTCACCTTGACTGCTCTCTTTGGTGTCTCTGCCAGAATAGGAGGTAGGATTCCCTTGTAGAATCCAAATACTCTGTAGAAAGAGAAAATAAAATGTTTCTCTGGCACTGAATTCGACTTAAGTTTTTCTAAAATGTTAGTTTACTTTTACATTGTACGTGTAGTGTATCAACACTACACGTACATCGGATCAACCAAACTGCTGCTGAAATATCTTCTAATACACTGATAACTTTACATCAACTTATTATTCATCGTTGTAATGCAATACAGCTCAACACCACAGCAACTCTAACTTAGGATACAAAGTACAGATTGCATAGGATTTAGGAAGTTTTAGTTATGCATTTTGCCATGTTCCAAGACAAGTTTCAAATGGCTGCTCACTGATTTTCATATTGTATGGAAATAAATGGAAGCCAATGAACGTCAAAAGGCAGCGTGGTGCAGTGGACAGCACTGTCGCCTTGCATCAAGAAGCTTTAATCCACTATTCAGGGCTATGCATGCTTGATAAAGACTTGGCTTTGCGTGATGTCGCAGTGACTTGCTAGTCAAATTTGAGTCAAGGAATTCATACAATGTGCAGAATTCCTGTTTAAGGTTTATATAAAGGTTTAAAAATCACAAAGGGATTGGCGTGACATTTTCTCTTCCTCCTTATTCAGCAAGGCACATTTTCAGATATACTTTCAAACCACAAACCCTGGTAAACATGTTCTACATGAATATGCTGAGGAAATGATTTAAGGGTGTTTTTTCAGTATTTGATATGTTGGATATTTCAGAAGCAGTAGCTGTATAATTTTAGTCAATTTGGTCGTTTGCCTGTGCTCGATCATACATCCAGCCATGATTTAAGGCAGAGTCAGAGCCAGGAAAAATAATAAAATGATACAGTGAGTTATTCATATTGAGATGTGTGCCTACATGGAACACAGGCTATATTTTGGAAAAGCGAATTTTATGTAATGCCTTCACAAACTAAATGAACAGATTGTTAAATTAGTCATTAACACACTTATTGGGTGCTTTTTTTGAATTATATACAAATCTCTTCTTAACCTTTCCATGCTGTGTTCAGATTCACTCAGATTCTTGGATATAAGCTGAGTTACCCTCTCATAGGTAAATGCCCCTTTGTAACCAGGTGAGGTACGTTAACGGCTGATGGAAAAGTAACAAAAGAGCACATATAAAGATTCACACGAATGTCTGACTGGTTTTTGATGTACACATGCAAGAGGACAGTAGTAGGCTTTGTTTTGCACACTGCATGTTTCGTATACATTCAGAAGTGCACACACATGCATTTCCCACAGCCTTCAGTTAGGTCAAAACATGTTAGAACATTTAGGACATTTGTTTGAACTGGTCTAGTTTACACTAATGGGGCCAGATTGACATACTTTAACTTTTTCTTACTAGCTGTAATATATTGTTTTTGTCAAACTTTACCACGTGTGCCACAGGCTCCAGGTCTAAAACGCAGCACATCTGAAGCATCGGATACTTTGAGTCATTAGCTTTTGTGTTGATAGCAAACTGTTCCTGGCAACAGCTACCTCTCCTCCACTATTATCATTCCTAAATGTTGTTTTAAGGGGACTGTCTTGAATTAAAACAGGTAAAACAGGTTTAAATCTTCAAAGAAGGGAAGCAGCAGAGGCTACTACTCTTATACTATCAGTATAAAGGACAGATCAGGACATTTTTATCCATAATAAATCAATCAATCTGAAAATGGGGTTATGTATGTGTAATTGCGATAAATATTTCAATAAATATTTTGTTTAATTGCCGTGCAAAGCTCAGGGCAACGATGTGTAAACACATAACAAACGTGTTGCTATGGAAAAACTACATTCTTTTGTGGTCACCACCCATCACAAGCTTTTTAGATTTCCCGCTTCCTTGTTTATTTACCATTGAGATATTTTCCATGATACAAATTCCATTCATGGAAAATGCAAAATATGCTCTTCGATCACAACGTTTCAAAGCTTCCTCTGTTCAATTTTTTTGTTGCTACCTTACTTCTTGAAAGAACACTTTCAAATGACATCAGTGGTTATTGTGAAACTGCAAGATGGCCTTAATAAAAAAAGTTTCATTCAGCCGTTTTCTTTTCTTTAAAAAACAAAATAAAAAACAAAATAAATATTCCGTGGCTAGTTATCTGTGCCAGCTCTAACCTCAAAAAGTGAAAACACACATCAGTGAATCAGAGATGCACATTATGACATGCCCTTCATTACAATGTGGAATACAAGTCATTTTGAAGGAATAGCTACCAGAAACCTGATGCCGTTCTGAAGATTTACTTCTAAAACTCAAGGCTGATATTACAAAGTCTTTGCTATGCTACAAAATAAGAATTTCTCTTTCTCGACCTGCAGATAGAGACTCAAGTAGAGGCTCCAAATGTGGGTTGATGCACAGCTAAAAAAAAAAAAGGTTCAGAGAAAAGACACGATTTACTCAGTATTTTGATTTAATAATAAACACTTCTCAGTTGTTTCAGGAAATCATCTAGCCTCCCCCCCATTTGTCATCTAAACAAACACACCACCCTGACAGCAATTAATGGGACTAAGGAGTCAAAAACTAATCTTTTAGGCCTTTCCAAGGAGTTTACTGACAAATAAAAAGTAGCCTTATTACCAAAAATAATTTCTTTATCTAAAAATAAAAAATATTAGATAATAATATTCTGTAAATGTACACATGGTCATTAAATATTTGTTGTGGCGAAGGGAAAGCGAAACTATCAGAGAGGGCAAACTGATATTGAATACAAGTCAAAGAGGACAACATGGCGTGGCCGACTGTATCCTGTGAACAGCAGCACCAGCTCTGTTGTGGCAACATTCTCTAAAAGTCAACAGAGATGATCTTGGTTGATTGGGTACAAGTGTAAATATTTTTGCTGCTGGAACACATTTCCACTGACTATAACCTGAGACCGACAGGCGATTACGCTTGCACAGAATCCACAGCGGCGAGGGCGCCTAGCAAAAACAGCAGCAAACCACAACTAATTATCAAAAGACTTTTCATCAGGTGATCCAGCCTATTTGATCAACACCTGAAGCTACACAAGCAGCGCTGGCTCTGGGTAATTGAGCCCGCATTATCATGCCAGAGCAAGGGATTATCGCTGAGCAAAATGCTGCCTGGAAGCCAAAAATGAATCTCTTATATGGTTTGTGTAAACAAGTTATTTCAGTCAGACGGAAGGCCTTTCCCTCTCCTCTCTTTGTCCATGCAAATGGTGGCCACAGATTTCCCGGGTGTGGTCAGGCTGGGGAGCCACCAGGTGATGAAGGAGGAGTGAAATTTGTTACAGAACAAATATGGCCTCTAGTGAGTGGCCATCATTTGAATCCTTATTTGATTGCCAATGTAAAGTACACACTAAGTCCCTTTTTGTCTTTCCTAAACAAATGGCCTCCTGACACAGAGCGAGGGATGAGGGATGTGTGTATCCCAGCATTAGTTGGGTGTACTTGTATGCTTGTGTGTGTAATTTGGCTTTCATTTTCATAAACCTTTCCTTTTTTAACAGCCTTCATCCATCTGGAGAGAAGCGTGTCAATGACACAACTACACAAAAAAGACCAACTAAATAAATCCACTAACAGCGATACCAGTGACAGAAATAAAAACAGACAAAAATAGCATAACAGTGAAAATGTGCAAACCTGGAAAGTTGCTGCGATTTACATTTTGGAACACACATTTTATTTTCACAGTCTTTGAGGAAACTGAAAAATGTTGAACAGGGAATATTTTAGCATTTCCTAGTGCCTGTTAAAACTTGACATTGCTCCTAACAGGAACTAAATAACAGAATTCCCAGTGGCCAGGATTAAATCCACCAAAACTGCTTCCGTTTATGCAACTTAGATGTCACCTAAGTCACGAATAGCTATAACTAGAATAAAAAAAACCCCTGTGTTACTGACGTAAGAGATTGTACGATAAACACTTTTACCTGCTGTAACAAAAGGACGCTATAGCACATGTTGTGGTTGTCAGGGGTTTGAGATTTGGATTAATCTAGCACAGTCTGTAAGATAAGTAGGTTTAACAGTAGTTTAACAGTATACTGTTCTTTCTTGCTTTGACTCTGAATCATTAGTTTTTATTCATCTCTGGCTCTCTTCCACGTTGTGTCTTTTGTCCTGACTCCCTCCGCTCACCCCTTACCGGTCGCGGCAGACGGCTGCCCCACCCTAAGCCTGGTTCATGTTTCTTCCACTTAAAAGGGAGTTTTTCCTTCCCACTGTTGCCAAATGTTTCCTCATAGTTGATCGTATGATTTTGAGGGTTTTCTTTCTAGTATTATTGGGTCTTTACCTTTCATTATAAAGCACCTTGAGGCAACTCTTGTTGGGATTTGGCACTATATAAATAGAATTGAGGATTAGATATATGTGTATTTTCCTTTATAAATGCAATGCAAGTAGGTCAGTTTAGGATCAAAACTAAAAACAGAAGAAAGCAGCTGGCCTTGACAATATCTCTTTACCTCCTTACTATATCTCCATCAAAAGCTCACTAATAATCTTGGACTATCTTTCCTTTATAAGCTATAAAACTTAATTTCCCTTCAGAGATCCCAGTTATGCATGTTTCCAAAAATGCCAAATATTCCTTTAACCTATTCCTTTCACCGTCGCATTTCATACATGATCTGGATCATCATAATCGTATCTGCTCTTCTTCACACTACCACGAATGTATACATATTTTTTGCATGGGTGGTCCCAGCTGGATTCAACCCCACATCCCTCAACCCTACAGTGTTAGTTCCAGGCATTAGTCACTCATCTTCAGTATTTCCACCGTTCTCATGTAATGCATGGACCCTTTTAATATAACCATGGCCGCGCTTTGGGTCCCGACCCAGTCTCTGGATACCACACTAGCAAAGAATGCTAGAGAATAGAGTCTTTTTGTTTGCCTCCAGACGGAAACACTTAACACATGCTCACGCTGCTGCACCCACATGCAAAAAAAGAAAGAAGTGCAGACTGTAAGGCAATACACAACCAAGTGTTAGTGAGTGTAGTTCACACGGTCACACACTTATGAGCACAGCTACAGGATTTCATGCTATATTTCAGAGATGGCAAATGTAAAATTTTAACAGATATAACTCTTAATTCGTGTTAAGCATTCACGTGCATCTCCTTGTATATGAAATTAAATACTATAGGTGCAGCTATTGTGTCCAGGCTTGTGTCTTTCTTCAGCTTAGTCACTGAGCTCAACTTTAGAGCTCAGGTTTCCTCCCTCGCCGCCTCAAAGAGGGAGAGAGAGAGAGAGTGAGAGAGAGGTCTGGTGTTGGCCCTGTTCTGCCATGAGCTGACGGGAGAAGTTTATTTTTAATAATAATTCTACAACAGTGGGGCCTAACACTATTTATATAAATTATAACTAAGTGGTTTGGCCTGTAGGTAATCCTCAAAGTGCTACTGGGGAGTGATTACATACTCAGCAAAAATATACTGTTAATGATAATTGGTCGACAAGGAAGCGGATCTTCCGTATTCAGTGATTCTGCGGCACGTCTCGACTTTGTCAGATGAGATCACACTCAAACAGCACTCAAAAGCTTATGTTGATATTGTGAACGCCACGCTTTATGTCAACCATTTTATGTACCAAAAGAATTCTCTGGAAATTCGTACAAGGTTAGTCCCGCAGGACACACCCAAAAAGTAGGCAAAGAAGCGTTAAATGTCACACTGTCAGCATGCGTATGGGGTGAAGAGGGCACGGCTACTGTAACAGCGTAAGTGTGTGTGTTGAACTCCGGCCAACTGAGGATTTCTAACTGTCACTAGCCAGCCTCTTGCCTTGCGCTCACTCACACCTTGCAGCAGATCAACTTTATATCCGCAGTAAAGCTGTCGGCTCATCGTAAACAGAGCGAGTGGCAAACACTTTCTCCTACGCCTGCTCTATCTCACAGACCTGTGACAGGGCAGGCAGACGAGGAGGGAGCATGGCAGGATGGCTGTCTTTAGTTAGTCTACTCGTATCCTGTACGAGATACAGCGTATAATAAGGTATGTTCAGTGGTTTGCTGCACGATATTTTTGGAGGCTGACAGACACATCAGCCATTTTTAAGGAAGCCAAACTGTAATGCTCACATCCTTATAGCCACCAAACCACATAACTTTTGGTTACATTTAAATAAAGCAGCATGTTTGGAAGAAATGTCACTCACAGCATAGCTGACTACATACTTTTCTCCCTGATATGCTTTTAGTATGACAGCAACAGTAGCTTTTCCTAAGAATTAAAGACATAAAAAGCATAGCATACCTATGGACACAACAGCATAAGCAAACACCAAGTTTTTGGTGGCCAACTTAAAGTTTTGCCTTGATGTCACAGTACATTTTATTGTTCTAGGTTGTTGTAATAAAGATGCATTCATTGAGTTTGTGCTTGACTTTTGCCCCTCAAGGAACTATTAAAAAGAAACGAATTTAATAAGCATAGGCAAATAATGGCACTATCAACCTTTGTGTTTTTCATGTGCAGGAAAACAGAAAGACTCATGAGTGGCTTCCCGTGTTATTTTGAATCACTACTGAGGATAACCTACCCTTCACTCTGGAAAATTGTCCGGAAGCAGTGACCCAGGCTCTTGTAGCTGGTGGGGTCAGTGGTTCCTCTTTGGATCTGAAACCTGCAACAAGAAATTTCTGATTAAAAATTCAGTTACTTTAAATATTATGATCATCAGCTCCATCAACTTATGTTAACTCTGCATAGGGACTGTTATCATAGCTAGATGTTGGTTTCTTTTAATTTCTATCCTCATTTCCTGTGTAGGCTATACTCCGACATGGCTTCAAAAGCACAAATTTGAGCTTGTTTTCCCTCTATTTTCTTCCCTCTCTTTTTTCCCTCCTCCACTATGATGAGAGGCTCCTTCCACTCCTTCCACTCAGTGCAGGAGAGAACTTAAACATTTATTTAACCCAACTGATCCAATTAACCATGCAACACACCAGGACCAGGCCTTTTGTACAAAGCATTTCAGGTACTAACATGCCAGCAAGCCTATAGTAACAGCTCTTGAGTTACGTGTAAATTTTTAATACGATGGAGCCAGTCGAGTGACTTTTTGTTGTACAGCAAACATGCAGGTACCTCTCTAATAAAGTCTGGTGAGCTGTGTGTAAATCTTGAAAGAATGAATAGAAATCATGCTTGTTAGTGGTAAAGAGCTTCAGGTACTCATTTAAGACTCCTCATTTAACACCACTGTATGCCTTGGAATTAGAGAAAACATGATGAAATAACTAAAGTGTTATATGTGAAATGAGATGATGACAACTGTGTTTAACAAGATGACAAAATCTAACTTGAAGATCTTAAATAACATTAGCAATTCTGAGGAGCGAAGCAGGAGACACGAGTAAAAAAAGCAGGCAGTAATGGGACAAGAGAAAGATTCCCTCCTCATATGGCTTCAACTTCTAGGTCACAAGGTCAGCAGTAAGTCGTCCACGCGGGTGCCTGATGGGGCCATAAAGAGCCCCCAGGTTCCAGTGGAGGGGAAGTTTAGTGGGGTGAGCGGCCTTTCATATCACTAACAGATTAACATCTTAGAGGGGTGTCCCTCAAATCCTATTTGGTGGATTCCCAAATAGCTTGTAACTGGTTCCTGAAAACTAGTAAAAACAGGATAATAAATAGATGTCTGACACCATATTAAAGACAAGAAGAAAAGAAGGACTCAAGCTATGAGATGATGGTGAAACAGGGAGTACTGGGAGGAGGCAAAGACCAAGAAGATTTAAGACCACAGGGGCTTGTAAACAAATTCAAATCTGGCTTAATTAGAGTCATATGATGAAGGGGTCAAGGATGGAAGGCACTCTGTCCTCAGTCTCCCCCTGTCTCCTTTGCTTGCCCTACTTCGACCCGAACTGGCCCTAAGAGAGTGAGGTTGGCAATGCCGTGGTCCAGTTCCAGCCCCCTGACTCCACTCGTAACCCCGGGGTCACCTCATTTCCTCATGGCCCTCTTCTACCCTGTCATAAAAGCCAGGGACCAAGCAGAAAGGCCCAGGGAGTAGAAGATAATAGGGATGAATATAAGAACTTATGGCAGCAGGGGAACTGTCAGGCCCCTGGCTAGGAAACTGCTTATGTTGCTTTTCACAGCAACCAGTTGTAGAAAACAAGACCCAAAGCTTCAGTTGGTTGTGAGTGGATGTCCTGTTTGGGGGGATTTGTGCAGACAAAAAGCTCTAGTTTCTGTTAACACGGCCTCAGTGAATACAAAGATATACTGGTTGGCTGAAGAAGAGCAAAAGATATCCTTTATATTGCTCTGGCAGATTTGCTTGGCCTTGGAGTCAGCCCTGCAAGTCATAAACTCTATAGACGGAAGACCCAAGGAAAACCCTGGGGCTTCTTTAAAACACACTGCTTGGAGCATCTTCTTCAATCATCAGTGAAAGCTAATGGAGATACAGTATACCAAGAGGTGATGAAATCTGCAAGTTCATCAAGGCTCCCCCATTTGTTCTTCACCCACATCCTACTCTCTCTGTACTTGTGCTTTATAGGCCCAGAGCTACCCGGGAGAGGGTGAAGGCGAGGGCAGGTTGGTGATTCTGCAAACGAGACAAGCACTCTTGTTTAAATAATACGAAAGACCTCGTCCACCTGACCTCCAATACCTATAAAAGCACAAATGTCAGGCATCCACAAAGATGTCAAAAAGGTAAAGGAATGTGCAGTAGAAGGCTAGAGCCCCATTCTTTGTATTTTTATGGATAGCAGAGGAGTGTTTCAGGGCTTAGCAAGGCTATGCCCGCTCCCAGACCCTTGTGGTAATGGGCTTGAATGGGCCACCGACAAAATGGGCTGTCATCTCATAGATGGTGAGATGTGGAGGTGAACCTACAGACTGTGTTAAAAAAAAAAAAAAGCCTATAGGAAGGGGGTTGCTAGGTTGATTCAAGCGCATAGGTTTGACTGGGCAGATTTAAAAGCCTTTCTTAAGAGATATGGATATTCCCTTAAAAGAAATTAATAGCTGGATGAGTTTGATGACTTGCTATTTATTTAAAAACTCTTATTTATAGCTGTTCAGACAGACTGACATTTAATTAAAACACTAAGTAGAGAAGTAATGACCTAATCTACAACAGGCAGTTACCTATACCTATCTATTATACTGTAGTATTTCATATAGTGCAATTTTCCCCAAGTATGAATGTTTTATGATTTATGTGTTTTGCTGCGTATTTGGACTGGTTGCTACAGTGAGAGCCTTGATCTGCCCATGCCTTCCCTCTTGGAATGCCAAGTGCTTTGACAAAAAAGGAGAGAAACAAAAAATATGATTGAAGAAAAAGAAGAAGTGAATCACAAGGGGGAGGAATGAAAGTTGAGCAATTTCTCATGTTAGATCTGAAGTACATAAGACAATCCAGAAGGAAACATAAAGGGGAAGTCTATTTTTTACAACCAGACAGTTAATTTTAATGAGCAGGATCATAAAGATGGTAAAAGTCCATTGCATTGGTACATGAGGTTACGACCACATTTCCGACATAAATGGTCCAACATGGCAAATTCCTTCAATTGTGACTTTAGCCATACAGTCTTGCATCAGGGTAAAGAGCCAAAATAAAAGGCTCCCGTCTTATTGTTTTGACAACGGAGATGACTTAGTCCCACAGAGTAAATAGTGTGTTCGATTTAAAAAGCACCATAAATTAAGGTGTATCACACTTAAGTTTGATTTCAACTCATCTATGCCCTGTCCATAAAGAAATGAGCAAAGAAAAAATTGATAGATTAAATCTATAATAAAACTGTTACAGGAAAAACTGAGAATAGGAGCAGAAGGGATATAAAGAGAAACCTTTGGAGAACAGAATAGGAAAAAATATTAAAGGGGAAGAAGATGTGAGATGGGAGCTCAAGGGAAGTGATAAACTTTTGGTGCTTGCAACACGGCAGGCTGCCAGAGTTTGATCTGGACCAGGCCAGGTTAGGTTTCACCAGCACCCACTGGATCTGGGAAATCCCAAATTATACATGCTGTCTGGATATCAGAAAAAAAGTTAGTCTGGTTGTTAAAGGGGCTACAAAATCCTTCTGTCATTCTGGATTCTCTCTCACACTGATAAAACTGATTCCTCTGAATCCCAGTGGTGATGTTGGGACTGTTTCGCTAGTCCAGATGTCTGCTCATATGCTGTGACCCTTGTGACCTGAGATCAGGCAGTGTTACTGGAGAAGAGCAAGAAAAAAAGATGCATAAAACACCATGAGGCAGGGCCAGTCTAAGACTGGGACCTCAAATGCTTTGAGCATTACAAACTTCTGCTTGACTAAGAGATAACTCTGTGTTAGAGTGGACTGTGGCAAATTTAGAACGTGACTACTGCAGAAGTGGATCAGATAGGTGGAAAAAATGAGCAGTCTTACCACCATTTCCAGAAAACGATTGCATAACAGGAAGGATTTCTTGGGTGTTTAATATAGAGTCTTTTAAACTCTGCCAACTGCTGTTAGCTGAAATTATGGCGCTATGGTGCAGTTTTAATTATGGCATCATATAAAAGTAAAAGTAAAACAGTAAAACCTCTTTTGCAGGTTCTTCAAGTACAAATTAAGAACAAAGAAAAAAAAACTCAGGTTACTATAACTCAATATTATTATTTTTTATCATGGCTAAAACTAGACCAACTCTCTTTTTCGATAATTAAGGTACTAGTCTTTCGATTGATTATCTCATCAGTCATAGAGTAGTCCAGGAGAGGACAGTAGAAGCCACGGTTGGGAACTTCTGCAATATTGTTTAGACTCCCATGAGCTACCAACATAGACTCCCCTGACAGCAGGTAACTGCTGGCTGTAAAAAAGTGTGCTCCAGACAGAAGACAACTACCACGCATATTGCCAGGAAGAAACCCAAGAGTTACGCTGACATGTCTCAGCCTTGGCTCAGGTCTCGACTGAATTTGCCAATAATCATACTTAACCTCCTAGGACCTGACATTACATTTTGGGTTATTTAGACCAAAATACTAAATTTTACACAATAAGGGCCTGATATCCACTTACGAGGACATTATACTGCTACTGTTCTATGAAAATTTTAAATGAATATCCTCATATGTGGCTCTTATTTTTCTTAAAAACAAAAATAAGGTAAAAAAAAAAAAATCTGGTAATTCTTTGTTTTTACATTCATCGGGCCCCAATATGCCGAAATATCAAAGAGAAATTAAAAATGCATGCGGTGGAAGAGTTCGGGTCTTAGGAGGTTAAACTACAGAGGCCTTGTTTCAAGAAATTCAGTCATCTTGCTGTTATATTCTTCATTTGTTTAAACATTTGTGTCATGATGTTTTACGGTGTAGATGCCAGTTTGTCTCAGGGCTTGTAATATTGTTATTTAAAGACTTACTGATCAGAAAGTTGTTGAAAAAGAGTCACCCAGCCACGTGTGGATAAAGAAGAATACTGTTACCTTTCTCTGTTGCTTTTCTTTCAACTTTCTTTTCATCACATATATCTCTTAAACTCTTTCTTGGACAAACTGCTATCTGCCCTTATCTGGTATCACTGACTAAGAAGTAAGCATAACGCTTTGTGCAAGTGCAGGCCACAGTAATTTTTACTGGACGCCATCCAGATCTTTTAGCTTAAATCC